AGCCATCCTTGGTGCTTCCAGCTCCCTGCCCGGTCCTCGAGACCATAAACCTTCCCCAAATCCCTGCTCAGAACCCATCCAGGTGGGATTTTGGCCCCGGTAGCTGCTCGGGGACCCTTTCTGGTGCAGTTCCCAGTATAAATGGGGAAAGGCTCCCAGCGAGGTGTGGGGTGGGGAATCTCCTGCTGTGCTCCGTGGCTGCAGGAACCCAAAGGGGATTGTCAGGGATGGGCTGGGAGCTGCACCCATGGGTGTGGAGCTCCAGGGACTCACCGAGCCCCTCCCGTCCTGCAGGAGTCAGAGGACGACGACGAGGAGGAAGAGGAGGAGGAAGATGACGATGAAGATGAGGATGATGATGATGACAACGGCGACTCGTCAGAGGAAGGCGGCGACTCCTCGGAGTCCAGCAGTGAGGAGGAGAGCGAGGACGGGGACGAGGTGAGGCCGTGGCACAGGGAGGGCACAGGGCCCCCCTTACCCTCCCCCGGGGCTGGGGGGCACCTGCAGCCGGGCTCAGATAGATCCGTGGCGGAGGAGCCCCCCGGGAAGCAGCGGGACACGGGGAGAAGGAGGGGAGCAGGAGCCCCCGGTGTTCCGGGGCGGGCACAAGGAGCAGCCGCGGGGCGTAGTCAGGAGCAGCCTCGGGACGTAGAGGTGCGGGGGGATGTGCAGAGCCCCCAGTGAGCAGAGAAAAATCTCCTGTCTTTTTCCTGGTGGAGATACTGAGTCTGGTCTCGGCTCCGTTTGCGCCAGTGTGAATGCCGAGTAAGTCACCAGAGTCAAAGCTTTACACCGGTGCAACTGAAATCAGACTATGCTGGATGGCGCTGGGGCCAGAAACCGTGTCCGTGCCTTGTGCTCGCCACCGGACAGGTGAGGTGTTTCCACCCCCTCGCTGGTCTCAGCTCACGCCTCTTCCTTCCCTGGCTTCAGAGGGGGGAAACTGAGGCACGAGGCGGGTCGGGCAGCCTCCCTCGGATCGTGTAGCGAGGCAGTGGCAGAGGTGAGGGCAGGACCCCGCGCGCTGCTCCGGCACCTCCCGAGCTCAGCCCTCACTCCGGCTCCTGCCGTGCCCTTCCTCCTCCAGCCCCAGACCCCGGGGGCAGCGATGGGAGGGGCTGGGGGGCCACACCTGCGGGGAGGGTGAGCAGGGGACAAGGAGCACATGGACTAACCCTGCCCTGACCTCCCCCTCCTCTCTGCCACCCCCTCCCAGAACGACGAGGATGATGAGGATGAGGATGATGAGGACGAGGATGACAACGACTCAGAGGGCAGCAGCAGTTCCTCCTCCTCCTCGGGGGACTCCTCCGACTCCGACTCCAACTGATCGGCCAAGCTCTTTGTAACGTCGTTTGGTTTCTCGGTTTTGGTCCCAAATCCCCGCTGCAGCCCCTCAAAATCCTTCCTCCTCTTCCTCCTGCCCCCCCGTGGGACCCCCGGAGCAGGGGCCGGGGGGGACCCCTCCGCCGAGCTCACACTACGGAGCGGGATCAGGGGCTGCTTCCCCCAGGCTGGGGGGCGAGGAGAGAGCCCCCCACCCCTGCCCCCCGCTTTACTCCTGAGGGGAAGCGATTTTTTTTTTTGGAATTTCATTCTTTCCAGGGGGTGTCTCTCCATCCCTACCCCTATAACCCCCTCGCTACCAGCTCTGGACTTTCTAGAAAGAGAAGAAAAACACACAGGAAGAAAACAAAAAAAACAACACCCCCACACACCTTTTTTTTATCAAAAAACCCAGAAATGGGAAGAAAATGCCCTGGCCATGCAGCCCCTCCGGCAGCGGGCGCGGAGCACGAGCCGAGGGGCTCAGGACTCAGCCGATGGGACAATGCCTCCCTGCGACCCCCCCAGCCCTCCTCGCACCCCCAGCATCTCGGGGGTCCTCCCCACCCCCAAAACCCTTGTACAGTCTGGAAGCTGCCCCGGGATCTCCACATCCACGGCACTTGGGAGCGCCCCGCGTGTCCCGGTGGGGTGGGAGCGGCGTGGGGGGTGTGGGTGTGTGTGCGAGCGTGCGAGCGTGGGGGGGCACCGAGTGGTGTGGGGGGGCACCGGGGCCGCCCCCACCCCGGGACCGGCGGCTCAGCGTGACCAAGGGGGGGCGTGGGGTCCCCCCCGCTCTGTTGTCGGTGGTTGTTGTGCCGTTGTATTTTATTTTATTTTTTTTTCGGGGTTTTTTTTTTCCCTTTTTATAAAACAAGAAAGATACATCTTTTTTTATTTTTCATTTCCCCCTCCCCGTTTCTCCCCCTACCCCTTTTCCTTGCCCTCCATCCCCCACCCCCACATTTTCCTCTCTGTCTCTGGTGAAGCTGCTCCTCTCCCTTCCTTCCAAATCCTGGGCGGGGGACCAGAGCTCCCCTTGCCTCAGTTTACCCCAGTTAACGCCAGTTCATGTCCCCCCCGGGGGGCCTCACCACCCCCCAGGCCATGCTGTAAATTTTGGTGTGGTTTGGGTTTATTTTGGGGGGTCGATGCCCCCTTCCCAGGAGGGGCTGGGGCCGCGGGGACCGGGGTGGGTGCATGGGGGGGCCTGGCAGGGCCCCCCCTTTTTTTAAGCAGACACGAGCACCAGCAATCCCACGGCACCTCCCTGCAGGGTTCTGTCCCCCCACCCCGTGCCACCCCCCAAAAACCCACCCAGTGTCATTAGGGACCCCCGCAGACCCCCAGTTTAACTGGGGCACTCAAGATTTGTTCCTTCTGCCCCCCGCATCCTGTCCCTGGAGAGGAGCTGGGCTGGGGGACAGGATTTGGGGACCCCGGAGAAGGGGATGGGGAGCCTGGGGGGTTTTCTCTCGTTTTTCTCTTCACCCAAATCTCCGCAGAGCTGGGGGGCCGGGGGGGCCATGCTGCAGATTTCGGGTTTTGAGGGGTCCCTGCCCCCCAGCTCTGTGACGCCCCCCAGGTTTGCTGCTCTCAGCACCCTAAATCCAGCCCCCCAAAAAGACACTGGGGACCCCCTCTGTGCTGAGGGGAAGGTGGGGGCAGCACCCCTTGGCCTTGCCCCAGTTTGGGCTGAAAAAACACCATTTTGGGCAAACTGCCCCCAGCCGTGGGGGGAAGGGGCGAACCCGGGTGCTCCCGCACGGACAATCCCCCCGTGTCCCCCCGGGACCGGGGCCCCAAAGAGAACCCAGATGGTGCCCCCGCCCCAAATGTCCATCTGTCCGTCCCTCTGATTCCCCCTCCCACTTACCCCAATCCATTTGGGATTTTCCTTTCATTTTCATCCCAATTTTTAATCGCCGCCCCTCCCAAAATCCCCTAAGGGGAACTCCCCCCATCCCTTTTTTCTGCTGAATGTACCCAGCACTGTCGTGTTTTAGTGGATGTGTTTTTAGTACAAAAAAAAAGACAAAAAAAAAAAATCAAACCCCACCTTTTTTCCCCCCCACCTTTTTTTTTTCTGTTAAAAAAAAGGTAAAAAAAAATGAAATAATAAAAAAGAAAAATTCTTACAGCGCCGACAACTGGGGAGGGGGTGGGAAAGACGTTTGCGCTGCAAGAGAATTCCTGAGTGCATTTTGGCACTGCCACAAAATCCCGGGATCCTTTAGATGGAAGTTCTTGTGAATTATGTTAAAAAAAAAAGGCAAAAAAACACCAAAAAAAAAAAAGGTTAAAAAAAAAATCATCTTTTTTTTTCTAATATTTAAAGAGTGTTTTTGTAGGTTTAAAAAAAAGACAAAAAAAAAGATAAAAAAAAAGAAAAATAATAATAATCCCGACTCTGAATTTGTACGGCTGAGCGGGACGCAGGGGTCGTGTCCCTGGTATCCCGGTTTGCTTGGGGTTTCGGTTCTTTTTGTTTTGTTTTGTTTACTTTTGAGTTTTTTGGGGTTTTTTGTTTTTCCTTTTTTTTCTCTTTTTTTTTTTTTTTTTGTATAATAAAGTGAAAAATAATGTTTCTGTTCTCATGTCATTACTATAAAAAAATAAAACTTTAGGGAAAAAAACAAAAAAGGACAAGTGTGAGGAGTGTTTTTCCTCCTTCCCGTGGGAGGGAAGCCCTGGGGGTCATTTCTGGGGGCTCCGTGGCACACAGGGATCTGCAGGTTGGGCTCTGGAGGCGTCCGTGGATCTGGGGGGTCACCGGGATGAGGTTCGGGGGTTCGGGTGTTGCGGGGTCTGGGGATTTGGGGGTTCGGGGGTCCGGGGGTTCGGGGTTCGGGGTTTGCGGGGTCCGGGGGTCCGGGGTTTGCGGGGTCCGGGGGTTCGGGGGTTCGGGGTTTGCGGGGTCCCTGCGGGGTGCGGCCGCGGGGGGAGCTCCGGGCCCCGCCCCTCCGACCCCGCCCATTCTAGCCCCGCCCATTTTTGCCCCGCCCCGCCCGCCCCGCCCCGCCCCGCCCCTCCCCCGTGACTCTGACGAGGCCCCGCGCGGCGGCGGCGGCGGCTCCGGCCCCTCCCCATTGGCCGCAGCCCCTGACGGCGCCTCCCCATTGGCCGGGCGCGGCGGGGGCGGGGCCGCCGGTGCGCGCGCCGGGCGCGGCGCCCCGCCCCTCCCTCAGCGCCCTCAGCGCCCTGGGCCGCCGCCGCCGCCGGGCGGAGGCACCGCCAGGCCCGGCCCGGCCGCTCCGCCCGGCCCCGACCATGGCCCCTCGCCGCCGAGCGCCGCGCCGGAGCGGCGGGGGGCGCTGACCCGGCCCCGCCCCGGCCCCGGCGGACCCTCCGCGCCGGTGAGTGCCCGCCCGCCCCGCCCCTCCGGGCCCTGCCCGCCCGCGGGGCCCCGCCGCACCGGAGCGGGGCCTGCTGACCCCGCCCCGGGACCTCCCCGCCGGCGCTCGGGGACCCCGCGGTCCGCCCGGGACCAGCCCCGGGCCCGCCCCGCCTGTGCCCTCCCACCCCCGTCCGAGGGGCCCCGGGACCCTCCCCGGGATCCCCAGGTCCCGAGCCTCCCCCTCCCTCGCCCTCTGCCTGAACCCCCCAGGCCCTCTGGGGACTCCTGGAGTCCCCTCCTGCCCCCTTTCCTGTCCCCCGCTTCCTCAGAGTCCCCACAACCCTCACTGGGGCCCCCAGCCCTATGCGCGACCCCCCCCGGCCTCCAGATCTCCATTCTCCCCCCATTTTCCTGTTTTTCATCCACTCCTGAGAGCTTCGGGCCTTCCCTTGTCTCCCCCAGATGGGAGAGAGACCTCCCTGAGCTGCCCCTAACCCCCCTTTGGTGTCTGTCCCCCCGCCATCCTCTCCTGAGAGCTCCCAGCACCACCCCTGGACCCCCAGGCCCTGAGACCCCTCATTCCCTACCCCTGCCTTGATCCTGAGAGCCCCTGGGACCCTCCCTTTTCCCCCTCCGGTTTCTGCCTCAGCCTGGGGGGTGTGCTGGGGGCTGAGCCAATTCCAGCCCCTGTTTCCTCTTTCCGTTGTGGAAGGAAGAAATCCTTGGATCAGCGGGATTGGGGTGCGTATGGGGGGCCTGGAGACCCCTCTTGTGTCCCCCCAGCTCCATGACAAACAGGGGCTCCACTGGGCAGCACCCTTGGGTGCTGGGGGTGTCTGACCCTGACTTTGGGGTCTTGAGACTCCCATTGGAGGGGAGGCTGGGTCCCATTTTGGGGGGCACACGGTGCTCCCCTCCATCTCCTGCCAGGGAGGGTGATGCAGCAAAACCCCACCCCGGGGTGGGGGCAGTTCGGGGACACCCCGAGTCCCCTGTGCTCACCTACAGTCCCAACACAATGTGGGGTGAGGTGGGGCTGCTGTGGGGGGACGTGACACCTCTCTGAACGCTGGGCGTGTCCCAGGCTGGCCTGAGGGCTGGGGGGCACGCTGGGGACAGGGGACACCCCACCCTTGTCAGCCAGTGTCCCCCACTAACCTGGGGGGATCCATGCCAGGCTGGGGAGGGTCACGCCCAGCTGGGAGACCCCCGAGCCCCCCGACTTCACTCCAGGAGGGTTTAACCCGAGGACCCTTTTCCTTGGGGACCCCCCAGGGTGTGCAGTGGGATTTTGGCTGGGTAGGGGATTGGGAGGGGTCTGCAGCTGAGGACTGAGGTGCCAGTGAGACCCCCCTGCGCCCCCAGCCCCCCGTGTCCCGTGCTATGAGCGTTCGGTGTGACTTCTCCGCAAGCAGCTGCAAATGAAAATGGAGGATATGTCTTTGTCTGGCCTGGATAACAGCAAGCTGGAGGTGAGCTGCCCCCTCCGGGGGTCTGTCTGTCCCCTGGGGTGTACGTGTGTCCCCCCCTGTCCCTAACAGCCCCCCTGGGCCCCCAGGCCATTGCACACGAGATCTACACGGAGCTGGTGGAGGATGCCTGCCTGGGGCTCTGCTTCGAGGTGCACCGGGCTGTCAAGTGTGGCTACTTCTTCCTGGATGACACGGACCCTGACAGTATGAAGGACTTTGGTGAGCCCCCCAAGTCCCCCAGGGTCAGGGTGATGCTGGGACACAGCCAGGCCCTGCTCCCAGAGAGCCCGTGGGGGTTTGGTGTCCCCACACACCGGGATTTGCCTTTGAGGAGGATTAAACACCCAGATGTCCCCCCAGCAGTGACCAGACTGTGCTGGAGGGGAAAATGGGGGGGGGCACTGAACCCCAAAGCAGGGGGCCGGGGCCCTGGGGGCACAGCTGGGGTGTGGGTGGGAGGTGGCAGAGACCCCCTGGCAGAGCTGCCGCTGGTTTCAGCCCCCCCGAGTCCCCTTGAGGCTGTGGGGAGGCTCTGGGAAAGGCTCTGCCCAAAGCCCCCCAGAGCAGCCGGGGGTCTCGGGGCAGGGGCTGAGCGTGTCCCCCCGCAGAGATCGTGGACCAGCCGGGCGTGGACATCTTCGGGCAGGTGTACAACCAGTGGAAGAACAAGGAGTGCGTGTGCCCCAACTGCAGCCGCAGCATCGCCGCCTCCCGCTTCGCCCCTCACCTGGAGAAGTGCCTGGGCATGGGCCGCAACAGCAGCCGCATCGCCAACCGCAGGTGGGGCTGGGCTGCGCCCGGGGAAACCGAGGCACGGCGCTGGGCCTGCCTGGCTTTCACCCGGGGCTGCTGTGCCTTCGGGCTCTGCGGAGCCTGGGATGCGAGTTCGGCCAATTCTGTGTCTCCCCTGTCCCCACTGTCCATCCTGGGGGTGTCCAGCTTGGTTCCCCCTGGAGCTCCTCTTGTTCCTCCCTGCCAGTTTATCCCTCCTGGGAAAAGAAGCTGGGAATGCTGGGGGCTGGGTCCTGTGTCCCCCCTGGGTGCTCTGTCCCCCTGGGGGCTCTGTCCCCCTGGGGGCTCTGTCCCTGCCTCGGTGGCTCTCTGGATCCCTGGGTGCCGGGGAGGACAGGAGGTGCAGGGGGACCTGGGGTGGATCCCGGGGCTCCCTGGAAGGTGTGGGGCAGACCCCGGTGTGATCTCCTTCCCCTCCCCGCTCAGGATCGCGAGCAGCAACAACCTGAACAAGTCAGAGAGTGACCAGGAGGACAACGATGACATCAATGACAACGACTGGTCCTATGGCTCCGAGAAGAAAGGTGGGGAGGGGTCCCTGGTGTCCTGAGGGGTGGGGGACACGTCCTGTCTGCCCCGTGGCCTCTGGACCCCAGTGTGGGTGGGTGTGAGGGGGAGAGCAGCCACGGCTGGTGGTCCCAGCTCTGGGGAGGTGGCAGTGGCTCTGGGCTTGGGGCTGCACCGCTGGAAAAGGTCAAATCTTTCTTTTCTGTCCTTCCCCATAGCAAAGAAGAGGAAATCGGATAAGGTGAGGGCTGCGGGGAAGGGTGGGGGGCACAGGGAGGACACAGGACAACCCCAACACCCCCTCTCGTTGCAGAACCCCAACTCGCCCCGCAGGTCCAAGTCCCTGAAACACAAAAATGGTGAGGGGGCAGGGCTGGCACCCCCGGGGTGGGGCTGAAAAACGGGGAGGGGGCTCACACATTGGGGCTGGGCTTGTGTGGGGGTGGTATTTGGGGTGGGTGGGGCTCGTGGGGAGGCTGGGCTGGTGGCAGTGGGAGGGGGCTCTTGGGGTCCTGGGCAGGACCCCCCCTCACCTTTCCTCCGTCCCAGGCGAGATCGGCGGGAACCCCGATCCCTTCAAGGTGAGCCTGGGTTGGGGGGATGGCTGCCAGCCCCTGCTCTCCTCCCCAGGGGCTGCACTGCCCCCCGGGAGGGTCCCCCCAGCCCTGAGCCTGCTCCCTGCCCCCCAGTACAGCAACTCGGCCGGCATCAACTACGAGACGCTGGGCCCCGAGGAGCTGCGGACGCTGCTGACCACGGTGCGGGGCTGGGGGCAGCACGGCGGGTGGGACCCCGGGGGTCTCTCCCCCCTGGGGCCGCTTTCAGGCTGGGAATGCGGACCTGCAGCAGGTCCCCATCGCGGGGCAGTGGCTGCTTTGTCTGGGACACAGCACTGGGAGACTGGGGCGGCCCCAGGGCTGCGATGGTGCAGTACAACCCAGGGGTCACTCGCCTGTCCCCCCAAACTCACCTGGCCCTTCCCTCCCCAGCAATGCGGGGTCATCTCCGAACACACCAAGAAGATGTGCACCAGGTGAGGGCAGCTTGCTCTGGGGGGCTTCCCCAGGGTCCCCACATGCCCCCGTCCCCATGGGAGTGGGGAAGGCCCATCTCAGTGCCGTGTGTCACCCTCAGGTCCCTGCGGTGTCCCCAGCACACGGATGAGCAGCGCAGGGCAGTCCGGGTTTACCTCCTCGGGCCCTCGGCGTAAGTGGGTGCAGGTCGGGGTCCCCGGGGTCGCTGTGGGGCAGGGACTGGGGGGGCTGCATGGGGTGCTGAGGTGGGGTTTGGACAGGGACGGCCCTGGGGAGGCCTGCAGGGGATGGGAGCCCCGGGCTGGGGTTGGGATTTGCAGCCCAGCAGGGTGGTGGGGCTGGGCCGAGCCCCTGGGCATCCCCTGGCGTTTGGGGGGCTCTGTCCCCACCCACCCTCTGTAACCCCCGTGCCCAGGTCCCTGCCCGAGGCTGAGGCTGGTGTGGAGAACGACAGCTTCGAGGTGGCCGAGAGCCAGGCCCTCATGAGCCGCCTGCAGTGGGACGGCTCCTCCGACATCTCCCCCTCCGACTCGGCCTCCTCCAAAGCCAGTGAGTGCTCGGGGGCTGGGGGGCACACCGGTGGCACAGACCCCTCCGAGGGGCAAATCCTGAGGCACAGATCCCTCTGTGGGAGCAAAACTGGCTGTTCTGGCATGTCCTCAGTACAAGAGGGGTTGAACAGACCATGGCTCCAAAGCCTGGAGCACCTTGTCCCCCACTTGGGAGGGGCAGGAAAATTTGGGGTACATTTTCTTGGGTGTTGACCAGAGTTGGGCATCATCCACTCTGTTTTGGGGCTCCTCTCCTCCCTGACACCCCCATTTCTTCCCTCTCTCCCGTCCCTAGGTACAAACAACTCCGAGTCCCGCAAGACCAAGAAGAAGAAGCCCCACCTGGGGCTGGTGAGCGGCGCCCCCGGGCTCGGCTCCAGCAAGAAGAAGAAGCCCAAGCCCCCCGCCCCCCACACCCCCAGCATCTACGACGACATCAACAACTGAGCCCCGCCGAGCTGGGGAGGGGCAGGACGGACAAAGGGACGGACAGAGGGATGGACAGGGGCCAGGCCAGCCCCCGGGCACCCCCCGGGCCGGACACAACGTGGGTACCGGAGCACAGAGGACTCGGCTGGAGTGGGGCTGGATTTGGGGGGCCCCCGTTAGTGCCCCCCTTCCTCCCGCCCTGCCCCAGTGCCTCTATTTATTCTGTGACAGTTTTTTTACGTGGGGCTCCCATTGGGGCTTCACCCTCAAACGTGGGGGTACAGCCCCCCTTCCCTCCCAGCACCCCCAAAGCCAGCTGTGCCCCCCCACACCCGCTCCTCACTCACCCCAATGGGGTGGGGGGCACCTGGACACCCTGGGCAGGTCTGGGCCTGGGTCAGGGGGTTGTGAATCCCCCCTGCCCTGGGGTTTTGGGGTGAGCGCCCCACTCTGGGGCTGCACCCCTCCCTGCCCCAGGCTGGCACTCACCGGTCAGGCTGGCTCAGGAAGGGGGGGTCTCACTGGGGAGGGGTCCTTTCCCACTCAGAGGACAAGGGAGCATCCTCTCACTCCCAGGTCTGTTCAGCTGTGCCTGCAGTCAGCTGGTGGGGGCCTTGAGGGGCTGCTGGTGCCCACACAAGGGGGTCACAGGGGGCTGCATGCTGCATCCTTGGGGGTGGGTCTGGGGGTGGGGGGAGCTGCTGTGTCCATCCCTGTGCCAAATTGTTTGGGGAGGGGGGACCCCAACCTGTCAGGGACGTCCGGGGGGGAGCTGGGAGTGGAGCAAAACCTGGGGGGGAAAGCCCAGCCTGGCTTCAGCGCAGAGCCCCCCACTCCTGGTGTCCCCAGGGCAGCTCTGCGTGCCCTCCACGCGTGCCTGGGACCTGCTGCTGCAGTCGGGGGGTCCGTGGGGACCCCCCCACAGCTCTGCTTTCGCTCAGGGGGGCCGGGACCAGCGCCCCGCTGTGCGGGCTGGGGGGACAGGTCCCTCTGGCTGGATCCAGGTCACCCCCTGCCCCGTGATCCCCTCCCTCCCCACAGCTGTTCTCCATGGCAGGGGCTGTGCTGGGGACAGGGTTGGCTCTGTTGTCCCCCCCTTGCTCTCTGACCCCCCATCTGGCCGTGTGTCCCCGGGGTGGAGCCGTGTCTGTCCCCCCACCCCGGTGCCGTGGCTCGTCTCTCGCAGGGACTCACACATTATGGTGCTCTCGACTCTGGATTCACTATTGTTTTCAAACTGCTGCTAAAGGCTGGGCTGGGGGGTCCTGCAGAGCCCTGGGCACCTCAGAACCCTGCGGGCCCCCCCTCATGGGGACCCCGGGCGGTCCCTGCTGCTGCGGCTGCGGCTGGGCAGGGGTGGCCACCAGAGCACGCCGAGCTGGCCTTCGCGTGCCCCGGGGCCCCAGGACGGCGCTGTGGGCACCCAAAAACACGGGGGACCACCCCAAACTGCCTGGGGGGGCACGGTGAGCTGGGGCTGTGGGGGGAGGCATCCTGAGCCCCTTCAGCTGCAGGAGAGGCGCTGCAATTTGGGGTCCAAGGGGTGCAGTGGGGCTTGGGGGGCTCAGACCGTGCCCTGTGACCCCCCCCAGGTCGGTGTCCTCGCCCCCCCCACCCCGGTGTTTCTGCGTGTCCCCCCCGCAGGGGAACTGAGCCCTTGTGAGGTCTGTGTGTCCCGTGAGTGGGTTGTGGCTGCCCCTGTAAATAAAACTGCATCTTGACTTGGTATCCCTGGCATTAATTACAGTTCGTTAATTAAACAGGGCCTTTACCCCCCCACACCTCCATCTCCCCCCACTCAATTCACCACGGGGGGGGGCCGGATTTGTTTTTAGAACCCCCCCAGAAGTGCGGGTGGGTAGGAGAGAGCGGCTTCCAGGGCAGAAAGGCGACCACTGGGGTGACTTGACACCCTTTATTTGCATTAAAAAGTCCTTGGGAAGGAGCCACGGCCCGTTCCAGTGCTGTCCCGCTCCGCCAGAGCTGGGGAGGGGCAGTGGAGTTTGGGGGGGGCACAGCCCCTTTTTGGGGGGGCAAAGTCCGGCATCAAGGCTGGGACCCAGCGCCGGCTCGGGGCACAGCGCGGGGACAGGGACCCCGAGGTGCCCCCGGCTCACCCCGCCTGCCCGTACAGCCCGAAGGCCAGGAAGGTGACCAGCACGGTGACACCGATCAGCAACACGGTGGCCGGGGCCGTGAAGAGCTGCCGGTAGTTGATGCGGAAATACCAGCCCAGCGCCAGCACCACCATCACCGTGGGCACCATCAGCGTGCCCCCGGCCAGGGGCAGCCCCGGGGCCGCGGGGCCGGCGGGGCCGGGCTCGGGCAGGGCGGCGGCGGCCGCGGTGTCCCCCCGGGAGCGGTGGCAGTGGATGACACAGTTGTCGGTGATGCGGAGCGAGCGCAGCGTGCGCGCCTGGTCCTGCAGCAGCTGCCCGCGGTAGATGAGCTTCATCTGGGCCTCCTGGCCCGGGAAGTATTTGCTGCGGGAGGAGGAAGGAGGGTGGAGGCGGCGGAGACCGCGGACCCGCCCGGGATGGCCCCGGACCCGCCCGGGATGGCCCCGGACCCGCCCGGGATGGCCCCAGACCCGCCCGGGGTGGGAGCCCCCGGACCCCCCCCGGGATGGCCCCGGACCCGCCCGGGATGGCCCCGGACCCGCCCGGGGTGGGAGCCCCCGGACCCGCCCGGGATGGGAGCCCCCGGACCCGCCCGGGATGGGAGCCCCGGACCCGCCCGGGATGGGAGCCCCGGACCCGCCCGGGGTGGGAGCCCCGCCGCTGTTAAACGGGGAGGGTTCACCACGGCACCGCCACCGCCGCCCCTTTCGAACTCGCTGTTTTAAAGCCCACACCCCCGGGTATTTTTGGCACATCGGGAGGGATGAACGCCCTCCCCCGTCCCGTGGGAAGGGGCTGCTTGCAGCGGGCCCCGGCAGCGCCCCCCGTGTCCCCCGGCCCTCACCTCTTGAGAAGCCCCACGGTGTCCTCGGGCCGGGCCACCGCCACCTCCTCGGTGTCGTTGAGGAACTTGAGGCGGATCTTGATGAGGCCGGGGCACGCGTCCCCGGTTCCCCCGGGCTCAGCGGGGCCCCGGGACAAGCCGGGCGCGTCCGGCAGCTGCTCCAGGCCGGGCTCGGGGGCGCTCCCGCTGTCCCCCGGTGCCGCCGCCCCTTCCTCCTCCGTTTTCTCCTCCGCGCCCGCGGGGCTCCTGGGGGGCTCCGGGGCCTCGGCCGCCCCCGCGGGCCCCGCGTAGGGCGGCAGCGGCCCGAGGCGGATGACGGCCGCGTCCCCGGTGCCCAGGAGCTGGCTGCCGCCCTCGGCCACGTACGTGGACAGCCAGGCCAGCACCAGCGCCAGCACCAGCACGGCCACCCCGGCCACCAGCGTCACCTCGTCCCCCACCCCCACGATGAGGGGGGCGGCCGGGGGCTCCATCGCCGCGATGCCCGCCTCGACCTCCCGGTGCCCGGTGTGAGCGAGCGGCGCGGCGGCAGCGGGGACCTCCGGGGCTGCCCCGGTGCCACCTTCGGGCTCACAACAGACGCCGGGAGACCGCAGGGACGGGAGCTCCTCGCTGCGGATTGTCCTCCTCGCTCCCGAGACACCGAACCGGCGGCGCTGCGCTCACCTCACCGGGCCCGGCGGAGAGTCCCGGGGGTCCCGGAGGGTCCCGCAGCCCCTCGGTGCCCAGCGGGGCAGGGTCAGGCCATCCCCGACCTGGACGGAGCAGAGCGATGCGGTCAGCGGGGCTCGGGCACGGCGGGGCGGAAGGAACCGGGGAAGTCCCGACCCGTCCCCGGGGGTCCCGGTGTGTCCCTGCCGGTCCCCGTGATTCCCGGGGGTGCCGGTGCGTCCCCGCCATGCCCGGCCATCCCGGGGGGTGCCGGTGTGTCCCTGCCAGCCCCGCGGTCCCGGGGGTCCCGGTGCCCCCCCCACTCACCGCCTCCCGCCGCCGCCGCCCCGCCGGAAGCGCCACGTCACAGCGCGCCGCCGCCAGGGGGCGGCCGGGGGCGGCGGGCGGGCCCGGACGGGGGCGGGGCCAGCGGGACACGCCCCGAGGGGCGGGGCCGGTGTGGGCGGGGTCATTTGGGGCGGAGTCCCGGGCGGGGCGGGGCCCCGGGAGCACCGTGGGAACCCCGGGCTGAGACCCCCCCCCCCCCCCCCCCCCCCCCCCGCTCCCCAACGGGGCCTGACCGGGACCGGACACCCCCGGACACCCCCGGACACCCCCGGACCCCTCGGGCACCCCCGGACACCTCCGGACACCCCCGGACCCCCCCGGACACCCCCAGACACCCCCGGACCCCTCGGGCGCCCCCGGACACCTCCGGACACCCCCGGACACCCCCAGACACCCCCGGACCCCTCGGGCGCCCCCGGACACCCCCGGCCCGGCTGTAACCCCCGCCACGGCCCCCACACCCTCCGGGGCCCATCTGTCCCCTCCCTGCCCCCTGCCACCCAGGGGCTCTGTCCCCCTCCTCCCCCGTCCCCACTGCAGGTGACATTGCCCCGCTGGTCCCACGGGGACAAGGACACCTCAGGAGCCACCTCTGCCATGTCCTTTATTGACAGCGGGGCACGGGGGGGACTCAGCCAGTGGACACCGGTGGGGAGCACGGAGGGCACGCACGAAGGGGACAGCAGCGGGGACACACGGAGTGCCCTCAGGAGATGAGACCCTCGATGGGCAGCTGGAGGTAGCGGCGCAGCGCGGGTGGCAGTGCCAGCTTGGGGACAGCGGTGTGACAGCGGGTGCCCAGGCAGCGCCGGATGGCCACACGTGCCAGGTGCTGCAGCCGCCGCGGCCGCCCCGCCATGCGCACGGCCGAGGCGTAGAACGCCCGGTGCTCCTGCGCGGGGGGACACGGGAGGGCTCAGCGGGCCGGGATGGGACACGGGCACAGCCCGGGACCCCCCAGGACACCCCGTTACCTCCCAGAGCTCGGGGGGCACGGCGTCCGCCCAGCCGTCGGCGGGGGGCACGCGGTCGTAGGCGTTGAGCATCACCTCCAGCGCCGGCGGGTGCTGGCAGCACAGCCTGAGCATCTGCCGGCAGAGCCGTGTCACCGGGGCGACCCCGCCGGCACCCCAAGCCCCCCGTCACCCCGTGCCCCACCTTGGGGTGCGCAGGGAGGGCGCCGTGGTCCAGCAGCAGGGCCAGGGTCTCCTCGGGCCGCTGCTCCCGGTACTCGGGCACGGCGCGGAGGGCGCAGTCCATGGGGGTGTCCCCGGCGCCGTTGGGGACGGTGGCGTCGGCGCCGTGGCGCAGCAGCAGCCGGGCCAGCGCGGGGTGCCCGTTGGCACAGGCGTTGTGCAGCGGCGTGTGGCCCTTGCGGCCCGCGGCCCCGGCCTGGGCACCGGCCGCCAGCAGCCGCTCGGCCACGCGCAGGAACCGCTCGGCGTCCTCGGGGCGCTCGGCCGCCGCCGCCGCCGCGTTCAGGGGGGTCTCGCCCTGGTGGGTGCGCCGCGAGGGGTCGGCGCCGTGGTGCAGGTACAGCTCCACGTGGGCCAGCAGCCCGTGGCGCGCCGCCACGTGCAGGGCCGTCACCTGCCGCTCCCGCGTGCCCAGGTTCACCCGCGCGCCGTGCGCCAGCAGCAGCTCCGCGCACCTGCAGCGCGTGGGAAGGGTGAGTGGGCGCTCCGGGGAGACACGGCACCCGTGGGACACGAGCGGGACGTGCCAGGGAGGTGTGGTTCCTGTGGGACACCCCCAGGGACACCCCCAGGGAAAACCTGGAGTCACCTGTGACCTGTGGGACACCCCCATGGACACACTGGAGTGACCTGTCACCCACGGGACCCCCCCCAGGACACCCCCAGGGACACCCCGGGAACACCTGGAGTCACCTGTGACCCATGGGACACCCCCATGGACACACTGGAGTGACCTGTCACCCACGGGACACCCCCAGGGACCCCCCCAGGACACCCCACAGCCCTCTGGCTCCCAGATGGCGTGGGTGGGGCAGAAGTGACGATTTCACGGGCAAGGCCCCTCACGCAGTGAGCCCCACCCTGGCCGCAGGTGAGGGCCCCGCAGGTGAGCCCCGCACCTGAGGCTGTGGGGCGCGGTGCAGAGGTGCAGCGGGGCCGAGCCGTCGGCGCTCAGCACGTTGGGGTCAGCGCCGAAGGCCAGCAGCAGGCGGGCGCAGTTGGGGTGGGGGGCGGCCGCGCTGTCGTGCAGGGGGGCCCGGCCCCCCACCACGGCGTCCACGGCCGCCCCACGGAGCAGCAGGTGCCGGGCGCAGTCCTCGTAGCCGCGGGCGGCGGCGATGCGCAGGGCGGAGGTGTGCTGCCGGCGGGGGCTCAGCACCCACAGCCCTGCGGGGGTCAGCCGGACAGCCCACGTCCTGCTGGACCCCCCTCACCCGCACCCACCCACCCTGGAGCTGGGGGGGCAGTGGGGCACCCATGGGGCTGCCCTGAGCACCCCCCTGCCCCAGACTCCCCGTCACCCCACAGACCGGAGCAGCCAGCCCCGCTCCCCGGCCCACCCGCAGCTGCACCCCTTTTCCTGGCCCCCACTTGTTCTGCAGGGGGAACGGGAGGGAAGGGAGAGGAAGGGAAGGACCCCCAGCCCCACGGCCGGCCCCGTACCCTGCTCCGGTGACCACACCAGCTCCTCGCTGACCATCTCCAACACCAGATTGGCGCTGGCCTCGTCCCTGAAGAGGCTCTGGACGCGGGGCAGGTCCCCGGCGTAGAGGGCGTTGTGCACGGCGGGGTCCCGGCAGAGCTGCCGCCGCCGGGGGGGGCTCGGTGGGGCCGGGGGGGGCAGGAGGCGTGGGGCCGGTGCCCGGGCCAGCGCCCGGCGGCGATCCTCCCGCTCCAGCAGCTCCCGCTGCAGCCGCAGCGAGCGCAGCGCCGAGGGGCTGAAGGCGAAGCTCTCGTGGGCCATGGGCACCCGGCAGGGCAGGGCAGGGGGCTCGGGGCACAGCTCGGGGTTATAAATAGGGCCGTGCCCCACAGGCCGCTGTGCAATCGAATCCCAGAGCCAGGGGATTATAAATAACTCCTGTGGTAAACAGAGTCATGGGGTGCCGGGCAGTTTAACCTGTTGGTGGGCGCAAGGTGGGGGCGTCCCATGGGGAGGGACCTGGGGACCCCCGATCCTGCAGGGCTGTGAGAGCCTGGGGGGACGGCTCCTTGCACCCAGGGGGAAGAGGGACCCCCGGGAGGGGACAGGGGTGACACACGAGGACACAGGTGATGCAGAAACCAAAGAGCCCTTTAATGCAGGTTTGGAGCGAGAGGGGCCCGTGGGCCCGGAGCAGCGGGGACAGCGCTGAGGCCTCGGGGTGCCCCCAGCTCTCAGCCCCACGGCAAACACCAGGGACATGCAGAGAGCAGCCGGGGGTGCCAGGTGTGCCACCTGCTCCTGGCACCGCCACCTCAGCAGAGCTGTGGGGCTCAGCCGCAGTCAACACGGGCCGGGGCTGAGAAGAAATCCTCGGGCAGCTCTCCCAGGAGCCCGTCCAGGTCATCTGCAGGGCACAGAGGATGTCAGGTCTGTGTGTGTGTGACCGTGGAACTGCCCAGGGAGCCAGGCCCTGCTTTCCCAGGTCAGAGAGCTTCTCCTCCCCGCCCAGGGGGGCTCGGACTCACCCATGTCACACCCATCCGCTCCCACCGGCCCTTCCCAGCTGGGATCAGAGCTCGCTGGGCGCAGGGAGGAGCCCCCAGGATGCTGCTCCGCACCGTGTCCGCCTGTCCTGGGCTGTCCCCGGTGCTCAGGAGCCCGGGTGGGCTGTGCAGGGGGCTCTGGGCTCAGCTCAGCCTGGCCAGGGACCTGCAAAACCCAGTGGGGATGGATTACTGGGGGATTTATCCAGCCCTCCCCCTTCCTCTAGAGGGTCCCCATAACCCAGACCCCCCTGGGGGTCCCAGCAGCCCCCCAGGGCCACCAGTGCCCCCCTGACCTGCCGGGGGGAGCAGCCCTCGGGCTCGGGCGGGAAGATCCGGAGGAGGTTGTTGGGGGTCACGTTGAGGTAGTGGTTGCGGTGGGAGGGGGAGAAGACCCCGACCTGCAGAGAGGGCAGACACAGCTCCTGGATAAACCCCCAAGTCACAGGTCCCCATTCATGGAAATCTCAGGATGAGGGGTGAAATCTTAGGAATAGTTGAGAAAAATCTGATGTGCAAAACCATGGGAGATTCTTTTCTCGTACTTATATTTTTTTCATTTTTTTATTTCAGAGTGCTATGGAATGGGAACAAGGATGTACCACATGAATACACCAATTCCTCTTATCCCCTTATCCCAATATTTACATTCCCAGTTCCAGGGTGCAACGGGGTTGGGAATGGCACAGGTGATGTGCTGTATCCCCCTCCCCGCATTCCCCCGGGATGAGACCCCGCTGGGGTGGGATCAGCAGCCCCCCAAATTCTCCTCACCTGCCTCAGGAGCAGCACGGAGCCGGCCCGGAGCTCGCTCTGCCTCTGCTCCAGCAGCAGCCGGTGCACGGTGCCCTGCATCTCCCCTGGGAACGAGGGTGGGACCCCTGAGCCCCCCTGGGCACAGGCACCCCGGGCACAGCGGCACCCCCGGGCACAGAGGTACCCCCCACTCACCTGTGGGGTCCCGGAACACGGCACCAGCACCAGCGCTGCTCCTGGTCAGGGACTTGATCATCACGGCCATGCTAGGAACCTTGTTTTTTGGGAGCTGCTTCAGGGCTGCCTGCACAGCACAACCGGGATTTTGGGAGTTGAACCCCGGGATCCTTCCCGTGGGATGTTCTAGGATTCTACACCCTCGTCACCCAGGGGATGTGGATGTCTGTGCTCAGCTCAGCCCCCTCCCCAGAGATTCCCAGCCCCACAAGCAGCCCCGAGGGCTGAGGGAAGAGCAGGGGGCTGAATCCTCACCTTGCGGAGCACCATGACCACGCTGTAGGTGTGCAGGAAGCAGCTGGGGTCCCTCTCATCCAGCCCCAGCTCCGTCTTCATGGCCAGCCAGGGCCCCTTCCCGAAATCCTCCTCCGTGGGCAGCGGGGAGCTGGGCAGCGCCTGGGGCCAGGGACACGCGGGGTCAGGGTTAGGGTTAGGGTTAGGGTTAGGGTTAGGGTTAGGGTTAGGGTTAGGGTTAGGGTTAGGGTTAGGGTTAGGGTGGGAAGGGGGGGTTACCTGAGCCCGCGGCTTCGCCACGGCCCCGTGAGCCGGAGCCTGGGGAGCAGCCACCAGGATCTCCTCCAGCAGCTTCCCAGAGTGCTTGTGGGAGAGGGAGAGATGTCCAGGGATCTGCCTGGCTGCACCAGCTGCTCCCATCCCATCCCAGACCACAGCCCACTCCCATCCTGTCCACACCCATTACACTCCTGACCCCATCCCATCCCCACCCAGGCCCTCCCTCACCCCTGTCCAACATCCCATCCCATCCCATCCCATCCCATCCCATCCCATCCCCATCCCTTTATCCCATCATCCCACCCCATTATCCCACCCCTCCCCACCTGCTGGGGCAGGATCCCGGCGGGCCCCGGGAAGCGCCGGCTCTCCCTGGGGCCGGGGGCTCGGGGGGGTCCCGTGGGGGCTTTGCTGGCCGCTGCCACCAGCTGCACCAGGTGGTTGGTGACCACAGGGACACTCGGGGGGCCGGGGGCGTTGGGGGCCACGGGGGGGTTCGGGGGGCCCGAGGGGGGTCTGGGGGGCAGCCGGGGCTGGGGGCAGCTCTGTGCCGGGGGGGTCCAGGGCACCGAGGAGCTGCTCCTTCCCAGGGGCGCTTGGACAGGCCTCAGGCACGGAGCCCCCGGAGCAGGGACGGACCCTCCGGACCCTCTTGGCTCTCCCGTGGAAGGGGGGGGTCTGGGGGCGCAGGCACCGGCCGCGCTGGGCCGCAGCACCAGTCTGGGACTGGGGAGGAGGCCCTGCCCGTCCTGCAGCCCCCCGGGGCCAGGGACCAGCTCCTCTGCCACCCTGAGCTTTTTGGGGACCCCACATTCCTGGGCGTTCTCCTTCCCTGCGCACTTCCAGGGCGGCTTCTGGTGGCGCCCGGGGGGCACTGGGGCAGCGGCGGCCCCCAGGGGCACCTCGGGCCCCTCCAGCTCCCTGCAGGCAGCCAGGAAAAGGGCATTGTCCGGCTCGGCCTGGGGCGCTGCTCCCCGCCACGGGGGTCCCTGCAGCCCCACGGGGTGCTCGGCGAGGGGCCGCAGGGTGGGGGGTCTGCGGGGTTGGGGTCCGCTGGTTTGGAGTTCACTGGTTTGGGGTCCGCTGGGATGGGGTTCACTGGTTTGGGGTCCGCTGGGATGGGGTTTGATGGTTTGGGGTTCCCTGGGATGGGGTTCGCTGGTTTGGGGTCCGCTGGTTTGGGGTTCGCTGGGATGGGGTCCGCTGGGATGGGGTTCGCTGGGATGGGGTTCGCTGGGATGGGGTCCGCTGGTTTGGGGTCCGCTGGGAGGAACCGGCACGACGCTGGGCGAGGAATGCCCGGGGATCACAAACTGGTTCTCTGCATCTTGCACAGCGGAGAGGAAATCCTGTGGGGAAATGACAGCGGGAATGCAAAGGGCCCCTCCGGGCGCTGCCCACGAGCGGCTCGGCCCGCCCGGGCACCCCGGGGAGCCCCGGGATTTTGGGGGTCCCTCACCTCGTCCTCCAGCTCCCCGTCGGTCCCAAAGAGCCTCTGGAAGTGGCAGGACTGTGGGAAAAGGGGCAGAATGGGGCCGGGAGGGACACGCGAGCTGGGGGCCCCCGGTGGTCCCGGGGGTCTCCGTGGTTCGTGAGGGAGCACCGGGCGGCGGCGGGGCCTCACACCGCGCCGGGGGCACCCCGCACGGGCCGGGGCCCGCGGAGCTCCCTCGGTGCAGACCCCAAACCCCCCCAGGGCACCCCAAAACCGCCCCGGGCCCGTTACCATGGCAGCGCCGCGACCCCGGCCCGGCCCCGGAGGCGGAAGCGGCGGGGCCGGGACTCGAACCCGCGGCCCCGGGAAAGGGGCGGAGCTTCCCCTGCGGCGCCGGGCGCCCCCTGGCGGCGGGCCCGCCCCTTAAAGGGCCACGCACCCCCTTTCCCCGCGCGTGTCACATGTGCACACGCGTGTGCCCCCGCGTCACCGGCCGGGCCCCCGGCGCCGCCGGTGACTCAGCGCGGCCTCGGCCCGGCGTGATTCATCCCCGCACGTCGCCGCGCACAGGCTGAGTGACCCCCCCCCAAACCTGAGACTGCTACACCCACGCGTGTGAGCAAGGCAGAAGCAGGTGCCGCGGCCGGCAAGGGCACACGCGTGTGTCTGTGTGTCCTGCACTCACACTCCTGTGTAACCTTGCACACTCACTCACACACCTGTGTGCTCTTGCACGCTCACTCACACACCTGTGTAACCTTGCACACGCACACACCTGTGTAACCTTGCACACGCACACACCTGTGAACGCTTCCACACTCACACACCTGCATGCCCTTGTACAATCACGCTCACACCCCTGTGTGCCCCCGCACACCGTTCCCCGCTCACACCACCCCGCAGCCACTCGCCGCGCGGCCCCTTTAAGGCCCCGTTAGGCCCCGTTAGGCCCCGCCGCCCCGGTTAGGCCCCGCCCCGTTACCGGGTTCGGGGGGGGCCCGCGCGCGGGGCTATTTTTAGCGGCGGGCGCCGTCACGTGACGCGGAGTGACGTCACCGAATGTTGTTGTCGGGGCGGGCGGGGCCGCGCGGTGAAGATGGAGGCGGCGGCGGGGGGGCGGCGGGGCGCGCGCCGGGCGGCACCGGGGGGACCCCAGGTACGGCGGCACCGGGGGGCGGGCGGGCACCGGCACCGCGGCACCGCGCCGGGACCCGCGGCCCGCCGGGATCCGCGCTGTCCGGGACCCCCGTGCGGCTCCGGGGGGGCTCCGCGCGGCGGTGGGGGGGGGCTGCGATCCCGGGGTGCGGTGCGGTTCGGTTCGGTGCGGGGTCACGGTGCGCTTGGGGGGCGCGCGGTGAGGGGCTGCGCGCCGTGCGGAGCGGGGGGGCCCGGTGCGGGTTTTGGGGGGTGCAGCGGGGGGAGCCCTGTGCGGGTCCGGGGCTGCCCGGGGGTCCCCGTGTGCTTTGGGGGGGCTGCAGCGGCGGTCCCGGCGCGGGGCTGCACGAGGGGACCCCGGTGCGGGTGGGGGTCCTGTGCATTCCGGGGGTCCCGGTGCGGCTCGGGGGGGAGCGCCCGTGCACTGGGGGGGCCCTGCAGTCCGGGGCAGTTTCGGGGGTCCCGGTGGGGCCCGGCAGTTTCGGGGGTCCCGGTGGGGCCCGGCAGTGAGCGGTCCCGGCGCGGTGCGGGGGGGTCGGTGCGGCTCGGGGTCCCGGTGCGGTGGCCTGCGCACCGTGCACTGTGGGGGGGGTCCCCGTGCGCTCGGGGGTCCCTGCGGGTCCGGGGTTCCCGCAGCGGCGGGGGGTCCGTGTGCCAGCACGGCGGCGGCTCCGCAGCGCGGCCGGGGGGGCCGGGGGGGCCCCGCCGCACCGCGCCGGGCTCGGCGCTGCCGGCACCGCGAGCGGCGTGTCCCCCCCGCGGGGTCCGTCCCGCCGCGTGGCCCCCGTGGGTGACGCCCCCAGACCCCTGTCTCTGCGGGGACCCCTTTCTCGGGGGGGGCAGCCTGTGTCCCCCCTCCAGCCGTGTCCTTATGGGGGTCCCATCCGTGTCCCTGAGGGGTGGCACGGCTGGGGGTCCGTCTGCGGGCCCCCCCTTACCTACAGAGCCTGGGGGCCCCCTTTTCCTACAGAGCCTGGGGTCCCCCTTTTACCTGCAGAGCCTGGGGGCCCCCCTTTACCTACAGAGCCTGGGGGCCCCCCTTTACCTGCCGAGCCTTGGGGCCCCCCTTTACCTGCCGAGCCTTGGGGCCCCCCTTTACCTGCCGAGCCTTGGGGCCCCCCTTTACCTGCCGAGCCTTGGGGTCCCCCTTTACCTACAGAGCCTGGGGGCCCCCCTTTCCCTGCAGAGCCTGGGGATCCCCCTTTCCCTGCAGAGCCTGGGGATCCCCCCTTTTCCCGCAGAGCCTTGTGTAGCGCTGCCGACCCCCAGGTCCCTTCTGGGGGTGCCCCCAGGCCCCCCCATCCCGGCGGACAGCGCAGGGCAGGGGCCACATCCTGCCCCGCGTGGGTGCTCAGGGGGGCTCGGTGCGGGCTCCGACCCCCCCCGTTTGCAGCGGGGGGAGGTTTCGGGGGTCCCGCGGTGCTGACCGGCGCTTGGTCCCGCAGGGCTCCCTGGCGGCGCGGGCACAGCCCCGGTGCCCCGGGCGGCGCTGACGGACCCGCGCCTCGGCGAGCCCCCCCGGGCCACCATGGACCCCCAGAGCGACGCAGGTGAGCGCCGGGGGGCTGCAGCCCGCGGGGCACGTCCCGTGTCCCCGGAACACCGGGGGGCACCGGGGGGCACCGGGGCCGTGCCAGCCGCCCCCTCCCCCGGTGTTCCCAGCCCCCGGCATCCTCCCGCTGGGAGGGGAAACTGAGGCACGGTCCTGGCCCCGCCGTGGCCCGGCTCACGCGTGGCTCTTTATGCCGCCGGGGGCGGGTCCCCGCGGTGCCACGCGTGGGGACAGCCGCGCTGAGCGCCGGGGCCGTGCCCGTGCTGTCCCGGCTCCCGCTGGCTCCCCGGCGGAGCCGCCCTGTAATTATCCCGGTGGGAACTCCGGCGACATCTGGACGCGCTCCGGTGTCCCCCCCGCCCCGAGGGGACACGCGGCAGCGGCGGCACCGCCACTCTGCGGGGAAACTGAGGCACGGGCGGTGGCAGCGCCCCGTGTCCCGCTGCGGGGACTCGCTGGGGCGGGGGGCGTGTGTCCCCTCTGTCCCCAGCCCCCCCAGCCCCCCCAGGCGGTATTTTTGGAGCGGCCGCGGGGCTGGAGCGCCGCCCGGCCGTGCCTGGCACGGGGCTGGCACGCGGCGCGGTGGCGCGGGGACACGGCGGCGCGGGGACACGGCCGGGCCGCCTCCGCCATCCCCGGGGCGCCTTCCTGGGGGTCCCCTCCCGCCTCTGGGGCTGCCTGCGGGCCTTTGGGGACCCCCTCGGGGGGCTGAGGTGGGAGGTCTCGGCCGGGCCGGGGCCATCGGGGATGTGGCAGAGGCCGCCCGTGTGCCCGGGGGTCCCCAGTGACCCCCCGGGGGTCCCCGGTCAACCTCCGGGGGTCCCAAATCACCCTCCGGGGGTCCCCAATCAGCCCCCGGGGGCTCCGGGACCCCCAGGGCTCCTTTTCCCAGCCCATCCCAGAACCGGGGGGTCCCGTGGGTGCCGCTCCCATCCCTCGCTCCCCTCCTTCCCTCCCGGAGTTCCTGTGGGTCCCCACTAGTCCCCCAACATCCCGGCGGGTCCCGCTGTCCCCCAGGTGTGCCACCACCTCTGGAGGGGCTCGGCGGGCCAGGACAGCCCTCTGCCCTGCCCTGGGGGCGAGGGAAGGGGTCTGGGGGTCCCGGCAGCATCAGGGGGGTCCCGGAGCCGGGCGGGCCCGTTCCCGCGGCCTCCTGCCCGCTGGCAGCACCAGAAATAGCCGGGCTGACGTCAAGGCCCGAAGCACCCCGGGGGGGGCACGGGGTGTCCCAGAAATATCCCGGCTATTAAAAGTCTTGGCTCGGGATTAACGCCTGGTAAATAAACGTGGCGCTGCCCCGGCGGGGGCGTTACGCACGGCGGGGGTGGTGGGGGGCTCCCCGTAACCGGGGGGAGGCCCCCGTCCCCAAAAAGGGGATTCCACACTCGGCACGGTGTCACCCCCCCACCCGTGTCCCTGCAGAGCCACGTGGGGACACGGATCCCACGGGAAATGTGCTGAGCTGGCAGCTCTGCCCTCCTGGGGCGCTCTCTGGGGGACTCGGGGGGTCTGCAGTGGGGTGGGGGGGGGTCGCCTGCCCTCATGTTCCCAAAAAGTGGGGCTAATCCCCCCCCTCCCCCCGGCAGATCGCGGATCGGGTCCGGCAGCGCTGATGCGGATTAGCGTCCCTGGCAATTAGGGGGATGTGGGGGGTGGGATGGAGCTGGGGGGGTCCATCAGTCCCCCCACAGCCTCCCCAGGCAGGGCAGCCTGTGCCCCCCAGCCCCCGGGGCAGTTTGGGGGTGCAGTGGGTCGGGGGAGGGGGGGACACAGCGCATCCCCTCCGGGATCTGTGTGGCCCCCCCGGCACAATTCCCTATTTATAGGCGGCTCCTCCCGTGCGCGGCTATTTCCAGGGCCGGAGAGAATAGCCTGGATTGGGGGGGGGCGTGGGTGAGGGGGGCCCCTCGGCCCTGCCCTGCCTGGAGCGGGGGGGCTGCATTTGCTCCCGTCACCCCAAAACCCAGGGATGCTCCATAACCCCCCCCAGCCGCCGAGGAGGGATTTGGGGAGCTGAGGTTGGGTCTGGGGGCGCACGTGGCCCCCCGTTCCCAGCCCGTTCAGGGGGTCACGGGTGTCTCTCTGCAGAGGGGGGGTCCGGCCGTGAGCCCCCGCTGGAGCTGCTGCCCCGTGTCCCCCTGCACGCTGCCCTGCCCGCCCCAGGTGAGTGGGGGGCAGCCCCCCGTGCCCCCCAAACCCGGTGACACCGCCCCAAACCCGGTGACATCCCCCACGAGTGTGCAGGGGGAGCTGCTGAACGCGGGTGGGTTCAGGTGTGCGAGAGCCCCCCCCTTGCACGGGCAGGTGTGCAAGGACAGGTGTGCAAGGGCAGCTGCTCCAGCCCTGGGGGTGCTGCCCCCCCCCCCCCCACTGCGGCTCCCCGGCCTCTCCCGTGCCCCCATTCCGTGGGGACACCCCCGTTGTGCCCACGGGCACCTCTCTGTTTGGGGGGTCCTGGGCAGCGAGGGGTTAAACATCCCCCGTCCCTCGCAGCCCCCTCAGGGTGGGGGTCCCCTCAGGGTGGGCTGTGGCCCGAAGCCACCGCTGCCCCCCAAGTGCCGGGTTGGCACCTCCGGGGGGTTTTTAGCCCCCCAAGCGCTGCCCCCTCCAGTGCCGGGTGCTGCCACCCCCCATTGTGCCCCGACACCCCGCGGGGACCCCCGGGTACCCCCGGCTGGGGCTGGCCCGCTCGGGGGGCTGCAGGAGTACCCCCAAATCCCCCCCGGGAGACCCAAACCCCGGGGCTGCACTGGTGGGGGGCTGGATGGGGCTGGGCTGGTCGGGAAATGGGGGTGCTGCTTCTCCTGGGGGGGCTGTGTGGTTCTGGGGGGGCTGGCTGTCCCCGGGGGGGGTCTCTCGGTGCCGGGGGGGGTCTCTCCGTACCGGGGGGGCTGCTGCCCACCTCCGCCCGCGGTGACGTCCGTGGGTCCGCGCGGGGACACGTCAGTGCCCGGTGGGGGGGCTGGGGGGGCTCATTGGCATGCACCGCGTGCCCCCCGCCCGCCCCCGCCTTCCTGTGTGCGTGGGGCCGGCCCCCCCACCCTGATCCTGCACAGCCTGGCCCTCGCTGCTGGCGGGGAGGGGGTCCTGTGCCCCCCGGGGCTCCCTGGGGGCATATTCGGGGTGGGGGGGGGTCGGTGTGTGCTGCAGATGGAGGGGTTTGATTGGCCCCCCCCCCCCCGTTTTTATTTTTTGGGGGGTTTAACTGAGGTGGGGGTTGATCCAGGGGGAGACCCCCGAGGGCTTCCTTGACACCCCCCCAAACCGCCACTGACTCCCCCCGTCCTTGGAGCACCCCCAAAATGCCCCTTGAACGAGTCCCGCCCTCCATCACCCCCGGGGCACCCCCAAACCACTCTCAGCCCCCCCTGCATCCCTGCCCCCCCCAAACCTGCACCTTAAGGAACTCGCAGTCCCCTCCATCATTCCCATCCCCTCCATCATTCCCGGTGCCCCATCCCCTCCATCATTCCCGGTGTCCGGTCCCTTTCCCGTCCCAGCGTGTCCGGCGGGCCCGGAGGGGCCGGAGGAGGCGGGGGTGGACGCGGGGCTGGCGGCGGCGCGGGAGCAGCAGCTGCAGCGGGAGCTGGTGGCCCTGAAGCAGCAGCAGCAGCTCCAGAAGCAGCTGCTCTTCGCCGAGTTCCAGAAGCAGCACGAGCACCTCACCCGCCAGCACCAGGTCCAGCTCCAGAAGCACCTCAAGGTGGGTGGGGGGCATGGCCGGGGTAGGGGGGGAGGTTGGGGGTGCTGTAGAGGTGGGGGGTGGTGGTTCTGGGGGGATGCAGCTGTGGGGTGTCACCAGTTTGGGGGTGATGGAGCTGTGGGGAGGGGTACTGGGATGGTGGAGCTGTGGGGGAGGAATATGGGGGGATGGAGCTTTTGGGGGGGATATTGGGGTCGATGGAGCCGTTGTGGGGACCTGGGAGCGATGGAGCTGTGGGGTGTCACTGATGGAGGGTGAGGGAGCTCTGGGGGGACACAGGGGGTGCCACCCTGCCCTGGGCCTGGGTGGGGGTCCCACGGGGTGCCCGGCCCACAGCAGCAGCAGGAGGCCCTGGCAGCCCGGCGGCAGCAGGAGCTGGAGCAGCAGCGGCAGCGGGAGCGGCAGGAGCTGGAGCAGCAGCAGCGCCTGGAGCAGCTGCAGAGCCTGCGCCCCAAGGACCGGGGCCGTGACAGTGAGCGGGGCTGCGGTGGGGATGCAGTGGGGATGCAGTGGGGCTGCAGTGGGGCTCTGCCAGGCCTTGCTGCCCCCTGACCCCCACCCCTGCCCCCAGGCGCCATCGCCAGCACGGAGGTGAAGCTGAAGCTCCAGGAGTTCCTGCTCAGCAAGGCCAAGGAGCCGGGCCCCGGCGCCCCCAACCATTCCCTCCCCCAGCACCCCAAATGTTGGTAGGTGCCCCCCAGCCCCGCAGGACCCCCCGAGGCACCCTGGGGGTGTCCGAGCGGGGTCTCTGCCACCTTCACCCCCCCAGGGCTCACCACACCTCGTTGGACCAGAGTTCCCCCCCCCAGACCGGCAGCCCGGGGACCCCCCCGTCCTACAAGCTCCCCCTGCTCGGCACCTACGACGGCCGGGACGATTTCCCGCTGCGCAAAACCGGTGGGTGCCGCGGGCGGGGGCGCGCCGGGGGCGAGGGTGGCACCCCGGTGACAGCGCTGTGTCCCCAGCCTCGGAGCCCAACCTGAAGGTGCGCTCGCGGCTGAAGCAGAAGGTGGCGGAGCGCAGGAGCAGCCCCCTGCTGCGGCGGCG